AAAAAAAAAAAAAAAAGAAATGAAAATGGTAAGACTTCATTTCATGTACTCTGTACATGTTGTCAGGAGGGAACAGTCCCTGGAAAGGGACATCATGTTTGATAAAGAAGAAGGTCAGTGAAAAAGAGGAAGACCCCCAACAAGATGGATTGACACACTGGCTCAAACATAACAACTGTGAGAATGGAGCAACACTGGGCAGTGTTTCGTTCAGTTGTGCACAGGGGTTGCTATGAGTTGGCTCTGACCTGATGGCATCTAACAACAATAATAACAACATTGTTGTAACAAATTGTCACAAAACTAGTGACTTAAACCATCACAAATTTATTATATTCTGGAAGTCAGAATTATATATATGAGTCAGAACCGACATCTAGTACCTAACAACACCAACCGAATGCAGTACAAGCAAGTCACATAAAAACCTTCTGAACTTCTCTCCAACTTATCTTCATGATAGGCTGGGTGGGGAGCTGACTTGCACTCCTTTCCCAGAAGGCAGACTAAGCAGAGGTTGGGGAGAAGTTTTAGTGTTAAATTAAGTTCAAAGTTTTGATTATTACATTGGAGTGGGCATTCTAATTATCAAATTGAGGCTTTGTTTGTGAGTTAAAGTGCCCATAGAATTGTTTATGAATAGCAGAAACGTCTTGTGGTCAACTTGAATTTCTCCTTGAGTAAGAAGGAAACGTGCCCCACTAAATATATTCTAAAGGGAGAGTGGGGTATAAAATACAATTTTAATTGCATCCCACAAGTTGCATCAATTCAACACAATGATTATGCTCTATCACTGGTGAGTGGGGATTATAGTAATCAACCAATTTCTCCCAACCATGATACTAAGGGCTAACCCATATCAGTGGGTGAATGTTCTCCACAGGCATATATGAGATGGAGAAGTTAAATATGCCCTCCTCTTAAACTAGTTCATTGTGAAGACTTACTGTTACATTCAGCCCCCATACAGCTGTGGGTATGAATGGAGAAGTTTTTGGAGGTGTCTCTATCACTGCTGTATTTTCATGACTAGACCTCAAGCTCATAGATTTCCTAAAGTTGAGTTGTCAACAGCCAAGCCAAACATCAACCTTAGAAAACCAATTCTTCCTCCTGGCTATACACAATTTGAGGAAGTGCCTTCCAAAAGCAAGGAAGAGAACCATGATCCCTGAAATCAGATGAAAACATGTCCAAGGAGCCCTGGAAGGAGGGAGTAGTACAGTGTTACTGAGTGCATGTAGTGAGGAAATAAATAGTGGTTCATGCTGGTAGATTTCTGGTCTACCTCTCTGCAAAACCAACCTAAACGCACTACCCCCTTTAATACTGTTTAGGCAAAGGACTCACAGGGACAGGTCCAGCGGCAACCACAGGTCTCTTCCACCTTAATGGGAGACTGACTGTTGGAACATGAAGGCCTTGGCCCCCGGTCACAGTTAACCCGATGACTCTGCAGCAAAGTCTGGCCATCTGGCAGGCAGGTGACCGTGTGGCATTGATCTGGTAAGGTCCAGGTGTCCCCAGGCTGCTTAGAAGAAAGAACTAGATTCAGAAAAGCAATAGGTTAAGGGACTGTAACTCTAAACCCATCTAAGTCGCTGACTACTTCTGAACACACAGTGACTAGGATTTGGATATAGGCTGTACATGTGATAGGATACAGAACATAAATATCCCATTGGCCTCCAAAAGCAGGATATATGACAAGAGAGAGAACTGGACTGAGAACAAAGGAGGAAATGTTAGTCATTGGGAACAAGGACCCTTAGCATACATTTATGATCTTTCTTTCAAAATCAACAGAAAGGAACTTACCCTCTTCTCATTCCCATCCTCATCCATGCAAACTCTAATGAACCCTGAAAGAGACACAAATAAGACCTTAGCTCCCACCTATCTCCCAGAAATTCTAAACTGTTCACAACGTCTGCTTAGATGACTTGTGCTAGTCCTGGAAGTCAAAATAATTCTGAAAAAAAAAAA